CAACAACAACAACAACAACAACAACAACAACAACAACAACAAGTAGAAGAAGAACAAGAACAAGAACAAGAAGAAAAGGAAGATCACCTCACCTGCTTCAAGGCAATCACCGGACACTTGTGGTTCTTAATGTGAGGTCTGATGGCCACGTTGGGGAAAGGTTTCATCAGCTCGGGGAGAGTCCTCAGGTTGGACTCCAGGCTGTCCAGGCACAGCACGGCCGCGGGGGTCTCAATCTCGCTGACCCGGTCGCCGACTCTACACGGAACCTGGTGGGACAGAGAGATGAGATGAGATGAGATGAGATGAGATGAGATGAGATGAGATGAGATGAGATGAGGTGAGGTGAGGTGAGGTGAGACGAGATGAGATGAGATGAGATGAGATGAGATGAGATGAGATGAGATTAGATGAGATTAGATGAGATGAGATTAGATGAGGTGGGATGAGATGAGAAGATGAGATGAAATGAGGTGAAATGAGATGAGATGAGACTGTCATGTCAATGATTTATTTATAGAAGCACCAGCCACCTAGATAACATAAGATGAGATGAGAAAAGATATGATGAGATTAAGTGATATGTCTATGATTTATTTATTGAAGCACCAGCCAGTCATGTAAGATAAGATAAGATAAGATAAGATAAGATAAGATAAGATAAGATAAGATAAGATAAGATAAGATAAGACAGCTATTTCCGGGGTGTCTTGATAGTCGAAGCACACTTTGTGCTGTTGAAACTAGAGAGGTGAGCAGAGTAAGCCTGATTCTCCGTTTGGACGTCTCTGTTGACATTCACCCCTTGGCGCTCATATGACCTTATAATGCAGTTGCGAGCGCCTTAAAACCTTACTAAAACAAACATCATCAGCATCATCATCATAATCATCATCATCATCATCATCATCATCATCATCATCAGAGCTTTGAGTACAATGACAATGGAGCCGAAAAAGAGCATCGCTCTTGCTCGAAGATTTCTTAGAGGAGTCCACCAGGCCCATTAAGGAAACAAGAAAAATCATCATCATCATCATCGTCATCATCATCACCATCATCATCATCATCATCATCATAATAAT